GTGAGAGAGGGAACACAAGCAGGGGGAGTGGGAGAGGGAGAAGCAGGCTTCCCGCCGAGCAGGGAGCCCGATGTGGGGCTCGATCCCAGGACCCCCTGGGATCATGACCTGAGCTGAAGGCAGTCGCTTAACCAACTGAGCCACCCAGGCGCCCGATGAATTGTTTTAAAAGTTATAAAATACCCAGTGCAGATTTCCATTAGTTGAGATTGAACTGTTTTGTTGTTCTCATCCCATGGAAGAAAACATTTTGATTAAAAAAAAAATGGTTTCTGAACTTTTTTTTCTAAAACCTTAAAAACAACTCAAAATTTGCCTTTGTGTGTGTGTGTGTGTGTGAGAGAGAGAGGGAGAGAGGAGGGAGGGGCAGAAGGAGAGGGAGAGAGAGAATCTTAAGCTGGGCATGGAGCCCAACGTGGAGCTTGATCTCATGGCCCTGAGATCATGCCCTGAGCTGAAATCAAGAGTCGGATGCTCAACCAACTGAGCCACCCAGGATCCCTGTCATTTTGTTTTTTAATATCTTCCACCGGTGAAGACTGAATTAAGCGGGTGGCAGTGGAGGTGAAGAAGGTGGTAAGAAGAAGGTGGAGACAGAAACAACTGGATGGAAAATGGCTTTGGAAATCCTAGGAGAAGGAGAACTCCAGGAAAGCACGTGGGTTTCTGGCTTCAGCAACTCGGTGACTGGCGGGACGTTTATTGAGATGGAGGAGTCTTGGGAAGGGATTGGTTTAAAGGGAAAATCATGAGTTTAGCCTCAGGCTTGTTCTGCAGGAGAGGTCTCTGAGACATCTAAGCAGAAGACCACTGGGTTGTTGGGTATGAGGTGTGGAGAACAGAAGAGAGGTCTGAGCCGAAGTCACACCATTGGAGAGGGGGCATCACACTTACACTAACTAGTATTTAAGTTCCCTCTCAACTCTGCTCGTGTATCCCATACATACTTACTAAATGATTCTAAGTCTTAGGGATGCAGAGCTAAAAAAGACAGACAGGTTCGTGCCTGTCCTTGTGGGTCTTACATTCAGTGTAGACGCTGGTGTATCGCAGACTGGATAGGGTGGCGGCTATGCCCAGGCAGGCTACAGGATGGAGGTCACAATGTGTACTTTGTGATGAGGTCTATGGTATAACTGGCGGAGGAGCACCCTGAGAGCTAAGCCGTCCTCCTGTGGGGAGGATACGGGACCCACCATATGTTATCTCTCTGCCCTAGCACCTTCCATCCCAGGGCCCGCCACAGTCCTCTTTGGAGGTGAGCAAGTGGTTAGGGAGGCAGGAGATGAGGGGCTGGGAGGCGGTGTGGTGTGGAGGGTTGGGGAGCCCTGGGGGCCGATGGGACAGAGAGATGCTGGGGCCTCAGTTCCTCCTCCTTCCCAGTCCCAGGTAGAGAAGTTGGTGTGCTGCCTGCCACGGGACCCATCATGTGGCCGAACATGAAGCACTTGCGGCAGATTTTTGTCCTGTGGGTCTTCTGGGTGCTCCTCTTGTGGCTGATGGCCCCGTGTCTGGATCCTAGACCTGAATCGGCCCCCCAGGAGAAACTGATGGCCTTGGTACCACTGCATTGCAACTGCCCTTGGCTCAAACTCAGGACAAGTGGCTGCCCATCTGAGATGCTAAACTCCTCCCTCCGGCACCACAGAGTTGGAGAGGGGAACGGGTTTGCTGCATGCTATGGGAAGACCGTGGAGTACCTGACTGGGGCGACAGAGTCCCTGACCCCTGTGCTCTGGTGGTTGGTCAGTGGTGAACCCCGAGCCCAGTCCCACCCCTTGTCCTTCCAAGGCCTAGCCCATGTCCCACTTTCCCACCCAAGCCCCTGCCCTTGGCCCTGGCTTAGCGCACCTCTCATCTTCACGGCCTCGACCCCTGACCGCCAGCACGGGGCCTCGCCCGCTACCAGGTGATACCCAGGTCCCAGCCCCCAATCTCCCTTCTGCTGTTTCCAGGGCATGAACTCAGCAAGTGGGCTTGGCCAAATGTGGGAGAAGCTGTTCAAGGTGATTCCCAGGCCCTCAGTGAGCCATTTCCATCTCTACTGTGGGACCTGTGCTTTGGTGGGGTACCCCACGACCCTGCGGGCCTCTGGCCTCAGCCACAACGTCAACCAGTGCACCGCAGCCTTCAGGTGGGTGCTGGGGAGAGGGCAGGGCATGGGAAGGTCAGGGCTGCCCTCAGAGTGCTGGCGGTTCCTGCTCTCCCTCCCAGGATGAGCCAGGGCCATGCCCAGGGCTTTGAGACAGCGGGGAACCAAACCACAAGACGCTTCGTCTATCCCTGGAACGCCAGCATCCGGGGCTCCTGGAGACAGCTGGTGCTGCTGCTGCTGAAGCTTTCTGGTCTGGCGTGGACTTCAGATGCCCCGAGTGAGGAGGTGATGGTCTGGGAACCCAGACGTTCTTGGTGCGGGGGTCAGGGGAGGTCACTGCAGGGGAGGACAGAGGGGCTCCAGGGAGACCCTCTGCTGGCTTATTAGGGGCACCTGCAGAACCTTCCCAGGTCTCAGACTGCTGAAACTCCCCCACCTCCCAATTCTCTTAGATTCTGGAAGGTGGTCCTGTTCCCTAGTGGAATGGAAGGCAGCAAAGACCAGGTAAGGGGACAGGAGGGAGTAAGACGGGGTTGTAGGCTGCGGGGCCCAGGTCAGCCCCCTCTCCCTTCTTCCCCACCTCCTGGTGATTAGCCCCACCTTCCTCAGGTATAACCAGGGCAACTGGCTGGCTGATCAGGGTCAGTATGCATTGCTGCGGCTCATGGCTCTGTTCTGTGCCTTGCACACCCGTGACCAGGTTAGGAAAGATTCTGGTCTATTTCTCACACAAGTATAGAGTTTAAAAATTTCAAGACCCTGCATCATCTGACCCCCTCCCCTCCCCTCCTGTCTCCCAGGCTCACACACTGGGCTTCTTGGTGTTCCCCAAACACCAGCTGCCTCCTGCTTCTCACACACTGCTGCCTCAGCCTGGAATGCCCTTCTCTTGTCTCCCTGGGGAGTCCTCTCTTCCTCCAATATGAGGAGGAGCAGCTAGTTGATGCTCTCTTTGCTGGGCTCCGGGGTCACACTGTGTGTTCAGAGTGTGTCTTCCCTGGAGAAGGTGAGCTCTGCTCTCCCAGCTCTAAGAGGAAGCCTATCACACTAGATGTTAAATGAGTGCTGAAGGGTGACTGGTGGACATGGGGGCAGGACAGGATCCAGCCTGTGACCCTGTGGCTCTCTCCTGTCTTATCCTCTTTCCCAGGTGCCTTATTTGGTTTGGGGACAGACCAGCTCATGAGGTGGTCCCGTTACTGGTATGATAAATAGTGGTTCGAGAATAACATGCACAGTTTCAAAGAAGAACAGAAGGTCATCCTCAAGCTGCAGTGTGAGGGGAAGGTTGTTATCTACTGCTGGCATGTTTTCCAACCTGTTCAGCCCCCTGGAGGCCCCGGGAGCTGACAGGTAGTCAAGGGGACCATGGAGCGTCAGAAAGGGGACCCCAGATATAGATCTGCTGCTAAATAAAACTATAGCTTATTTCTCTCATTGGATTCCTGGTGGTATTAGAGGGCTACATTCTATTCCAGATTCTTAAGAGCACTATATATATATATCACCAATAAATATATATATAACCAATAAATATAATCAGATGAAAAGTGGAAACAAGCAAACCCTAAAGTTGAGAACAAATCAAATGGATCTAACCGTATATCAAATTAATAACACAAGCACCAGAGAAAAGAATTATTTCAAGTTCCTTTGGAACTCAGTACACTGTGTATCCTTTGCAGGATATATTCTGTGTACAAAAAGACCTACAGAGAAATTTTAAACGTCATTCAGTAGATTTATTATAATATTGGTATTATTTTTGAAACTATGATGACTATCATGGAATAAAGTAAATAAGTAATTATATTAATATTATTAGGAGCCAAATACAAAGTCAGACAGGTAGAGTAAAAACCCTGTGACATTAAATTCAAACTGGAAATATCATTATAAGCTCAATTTTTAAGTTATTTTTTATTGTGGCAAAATATACATAACATTTGCCATTTTAACCATTTTAAAGCGTGCAGTTCAAGGGCATTAAGTACACACTGTTGTGCAACCAACACCACCGTGAACTCACGATTTTCCAAATACATTTTCTGCTCTGGCATCTGAACAGTCTAAAAGCCTGAACATACCAGTAGCAATGATGGATCCCGGAACTCAGATTTTGTTTTCTAAACACTTCTTTCCCATGGAAAGATTCCAAGTCTGGACAGGAAAAGTAGAAGGAAAACCCAGACCTCAAAGTTGGGAAGATCTGATCATCAAAAATAGCACTTGTCGTGATGGACTCACAGGGAATACATTAAAAATCCCGAGTCCATAATGAGACTCAGAAATAAAAACAATTTGTTGGCGGAGACTATTACATCAACTGGGGAGGGGGAAGCATTTATCCTGCTTTCTTTGTAGAAACGGTGGTTCAAGGCAATTAAATAGCCTCAGTCAATGAGGGTGTGCAGTTGCTTGGTGTGTAAAACAAATATCCACTACATTCGACCTCCCTGTCTGCCCAATAAGCACACAGACACTAACAAAATGCATATACCCTCATATGACCAGGCACACACGTACACGCCTCCCCAAGGTTGCTGCAGCATCCCGGCCGGTCTAGCGTGGAGCCATAGCCCAAAAATCCCCAAAGGTGAGAGCAGTGCCCCAGCCCATCGTCATGTTATTCTAGGTACTTGACCCATCATGACATCATATAAACATATTATTTAGAGGAATAACATTATCCACTACAAAAATAGAGTCTTCAAGCATTGGCTGTCCCCAGAGAGAGGTTGGAAAAGAATTGGATGGGAAACTGCTACCTTCTTTTCTACTTAATTTTGTAACCAGGTGCGTGCACTGGTTTCATTTTAAATAAATGAAACCAAAATCTGTGGAGAAAAAAAAAGTTTGAGTGGACAGAAATGTACTTTTAACCACATCACGAAGTTTTCCTGTAGATTCTTTTCTCACGAGGGGCCAGGAGGCTCTTCCTTTCCCCTGTCTGCTTCCTGCCCAGCAACGCTGCACCAGCAAGAGAGGCCCCCATCTCAGAGAGGTGCCCCACACCGGCCTTGGCACACAGTCTTGCCTGTTTTATTCCCGTCCCCATTACACTTGATTTCCAAGCCCTCCCTTGTCTGCTGGGCCCTGGGCTGAATGCCAAGGGGAAGGCGGTTATCCACAAGGCCTCCATGCAGGAATTCACAATGTGACTTGTGTGGTGGGGTCCCTGATACTGGGCTGGCATGAAGAACCCCATGGGGCATCAACCCCTTCTCCTCCAGGGAGGCCACAGGATACACCAAATGTTGCCTCTCCCCTCCCTCTCCTCAGCCTCCAGGGGCGAATCCTGTAGAGCTTAGCAGGTGACCGTGAAGGAGGTGGCCAGCGCAGTGGGGTGCTGGTGAAGTCGGTGACCACAGCTTCCTACCTTTCCCAGTGTTTGGTGTCTGAGTCAGCCGGCCACTTGGCCTTGAGCGTGGGACAGTAATGAAGCCTTCATGGTGGATTTTAGGCTCATGGGCTGCCTTGATGTTCACCTGTGGCTGATGCTTCTGCTCTGGTCAGGAAGGTCTGACTTGAGCGGTTTAGCTGGTTAGAGCTCCAAGAGCCTGCCATCGTTCTTGGGACCCACAGGTGCACCCCTGGACCCCATAAACCCAGGGTATCCATCCAATCAGCTTGGAAACACTTTGAAAGGGCTCTCCAGCCCTCTCGTCCACCAAGATGTTCTGTGACACTTTCTCTGGCTTCAACGAGCGGCCAGTGAGTCTCTTCTGGACCTCCAGGTCATTCTGCGAGTGTTTGTATATGTCCAGGCGTGCCTTCCCTGGAGAAGAGCTCCTCTTTTCAGTGCTCATTGTGCAGCTTTGTGACACGCAGGTTTAACGAGTATTTGCCAGGTGAATGAAGAGCTGGATTAGGGGCAGGGGCAGCAAGCAGCCCATTTTCTCCACAAGGTTTCTATATTTGGAGTTGGGCAGACAAGAGATGGGCCCTTACACAGAGAAGGGAGTTACATCCACTCCAGTACAACTTGTTAAGCCACAGTGCGACAGCAGAAGGCCAGGGAATCAGCCAGCTAGAATGTGAGGCTAGTCTTGGCCTGCCACGAGCCTTAGACTCTTGGAGCTGCCAGGTAGGGCTGGAATACTCAGATCTAGGAGAGATTATGACAGGAAACCAAGATAGGAGGTATAAGAGTGATGTATGGATTATCAGGCACCGGATAAAAGCCTTCCCTGATTCCCTCACCTCAACAACTGGCAGTAATTAGGAAGAACCAAATTTGAATACAAGTTCTCATCTCCCTCCCCGCCTCCACACACAAGGCCATGTGCTGAGATCAGAGAGCAGCCACTCTCAGTGGGACACGATGCACCGCGCTAGCGGGGAAACGCACTCTCCTCGGACCCGACTCATTCACCTTTTTACCTCCAAGCCTTCCCACCTGTGTCAAGCTTCGGGCCTCACGAAGGCATATAAGAAGCTGCTAACATTGGTTAACAAAGGACTCAGAAGGAAGATCACCATGTCCACACCGTGACAGGTTACCCATATAAACGAACTGGGTGAGACCCATGGGACCCGGGAGCACAGCTCTACCTTCTCTGGAGGAGCCTCCCTCCTGAGCCTCCCCTCCATCGGGGTCTAGGCAAACCCGGGTTCCAGCAAGGTAGACGGGAGGAAATTCCAGGGCCCCAAATAAGACCCTATGTTCTTCATGTTCTAAGTGTGGTGAGCAGAGCTGAGCTTGCACTCCTTCCCCACTGTGCTGGAGGATCACACAGGGGACGTCGCTGCTTGAGGCACAGACAGCCCGGCTCTTCGGCCCCCCCCCCTCCCACCGCCTACGCGCGCCACTGCTCCTGCTCTTCCAACCCTCCGCCTCCGCGCGCCACTGCCCCTGCTCTTCCCACCCCCTGCCTGTTCTTCCGATCCCCCGCCTCCACGCGCCACTGCCCCTGCTCTTCCGACCCCTCGCCCCCGCGCGCCACTGCCCCTGCTTTTCCAACTCTCAGCCTCCGCGCGCCACTGCCCCTGCTCTTCCCAACCCCTGCCTGTTCTTCCGGCCCCCCGCCTCCGTGCGCCCCTGCCTCCTTGTGCCACAAACCCCCGCTCTTCAGGGCTAGCGTTTGCACGGAGCTCAGCTGCTCCCTTCCCCGGGCCTGGGGAGTGAACAGGTGGTCAGTGGTCACGGGGTAGGAGGTGAGGTAGTGCGGGCTGGGGGTGGGGGGACACAACGCATGAAGGTGTCCCCTGTCCAAAGACCAATTCAACAACCAGCTGGCTGAAAAGGGACCTATTCATGGGCTGAGAGGAGGCCTGCATGCAAAGTCTTAGCCTGGGAGTTGCCCTGATGCTTTTGTGGGTGAAGTATCCCCACCCCCACAGGTGCTTCTCAGGGGCCCCAGAGCTGGAGAGGCTCTGAGGTTGCTCACCACGGCGCTGCATCTGCATAGCCTGCTTTCACCCGCAGGCTGTCTGCCTCGTTTGACCAGTGCTTCCAGATGGGCCCCGAAGCTCCTCATGAAGCTGGAGACCATCTCCAGAGCTCCTGGGCTCTATCTCCTCCCTGACTCCTTTCTCTACTCCGATGAAGTCCAGCCTCCTCTGTGTGAGAACATGGAGGTCAAGCGGCTAGTGGTCTGTGCTCTTCTCCACAGGCACCAACGCTGGGAGACCCAACCCAGGCCAGCAGGCCAAGGAGGAACTATTTCAGCTGATCCCCAGGCCGCAGCAAAACTCCAAGACCTGCCCACGCCAGTCCTGCACTGAACAGTGCGGGACTCGGGGAGTCTGCAGTCTTCGAGCCATGGGACCTCCACCGATGAGCACCACACTGTGTCCCGGGGTGGGGGGGGTGAGGGTGGTGAGCAGGGCTGGCCTGTGAGCCCCAGTGCCCTCCTGACTTCCTGTCTCTGCAGAATGAACCAGGCCCCGTTTTTAGGTTCAGGGAACACGGGCAACAAACAGAGCCTACGGGCACATAAAGGACCCAAGAATGCCCGTGAGCTGGGAAGAATATCCAGGCGCTGCTGAAGCCTCCAGATGTAGTGTGGACTGCAGGGGTCTTGAGCCAAGGCGGACAAGGGCAACTTTCATCAGGTGGTGTGATTGGCGGAGGCCCCAGGCCTGGAGCGGACAGACCTTGGCTTTTTGGTGTAAATGTTGATCTTGCCGTCACTCTACCGCCTGTGATTGTGCGCTCCCCACCACCCTTGCTAACATACAACCAATTTTTCCTTCCCTACCTCATGCTAGGCAGCTTTTCTACCTTTAAGCTGCTGCTAGTCCCAAGTAGGGAAGCAGAGGAGGCAAGGTAATTAGGTTGTGCTCTGGTGATCCTTGTTCTAACACGCCAAGTTCGGAGACTTGTTGAGAGAATGGGGTGCTGCTCCCACCAGACCCAGGCACTCCCCAGGAACAAGAACGTGGCCCAGACTCTGGCTCAGCTCTTGTCCCCTCCTACTCTCAGGACTTTCTGGCCTGTACCAGCCTCTAGCAAAACAGATGAGGAAGAGGTGGGAGGAGAAAATTTTGTGAAAGGAGACCTCTGCGCTCAGCTCTGACCTTTTCCCTCAGGGTTCTAGTGACCAACTTCACCGTCCTCAAGTACATCCACAAGACCTAGTTGGTCAGGGACTTTTCCAAACCACCGACTCGCTGTGGCATGTGATGAGGAGAAGGAGAGGAAGCTCTGGCCCGATGCCCTTAGGCAAGGTTGGGTCTTGTCTGGAAGGTCCACACTCTTCTCTAAGCTAAAGAACTGGAGGCGAAGGACCAAAAAGTAAGGAACCAAGAGAAGTCCTGTTTGTCCTTGAGAACTCCGAGCACAGAAAAGGCCAGGTGAGGATTCTCAGTCACAGAGAAACTGACTAGAGGTGGCGCCCAGAGCCCAGCATCTCTGGGGCCCCAGATCTAGTTCTGGGGGAGGGGGTTCTAAACTGCAACTTTTTACTAAGCATCTGTTGCGGAGTCCCATACCATGAGTTTTTGAAACAAAGCTTTGGCTGTGGTGAACAGCCCCCTCATGCGCTCTGTGTGATGCGATGGAATACGAGGGGCCTGAACCCTGAGTAAGTAGGTTTGGGGGAGTGGAGTGCTGCTCTCAAACCCCCACATTCTTAACTGGGCCTTAGCTCCATCCTCAGGCTTAGGAAATTCCAGATTACAGTTGAAGGGCCAGAGGAAGGCCAAGCCCAGCTTCTTTAAAGAAAACTGTTCTCGGGCGCCTGGGTGGCTCAGTTGGTTAAGCGACTGCCTTCGGCTCAGGTCGTGATCCTGGAGTCCCGGGATCGAGTCCCGCATCGGGCTCCCTGC